GGAGGGAACACCAGGGAGGAAGGCTCAATCTGAAAGTTACTGGGACTGAGAAGTGAAAATGACAGTTCTTTGTTGTATACCAAGTCCCTGCACTACCTCTCAATATAAGAGGCTAAAGGTCAGAGTGAGGCTCTCAAGCCCAAGTTCATGTCACCAAGCTGACAGTCAGTGGTTTGTCTGACCTGCATAGAAGTCAGCACTAGGAGACAAAAGCCACGTTGCTCCAGCAAGCCAGCTTCAATGGGCAGGAGGATGCGTGGCCCTCCGGATGTATCCTTTCACACAGAAAGGTACCCAGTCATTTACTTTGCTATCATGTCTCCTCATTCTGTTTCATAAGGATAGTAATTTTTAAATGACTACTTTTCTGTGTAGGCGTTTCCTATATGTAGAAATTTCTGCTATACTCAATTGGCCATTTTTCCTATTTTACAATTCCAGAATTGAAAATAGAACTGCACAAGTATAATCCCAGCATTCTGGGAGACTGAGGTAGGAGGATTCAAGTTCAAGCCCAGCCTGGGGCAATTTGGAGACTTAATGAGATACTGTCTCAAGACGTGTGCCCTTATGGCCAGCTCAGTGGGTCTTGGGTGGGGCCGGCACGGCATGCAGTGCCAGAGATCAAGCCCAGGTCCTTGCACTTGCCAGGCAGGCACTTAGACCACTGAGCTATCCCCTCAGCCCAAAATTTAAAATTTTTAAAAGCATATACGATATTGGAAACTGGGGGTATAATTCAGCAAATAGGTGCTGGTTTCAATTCCTAGTACCTCCCCCCAACATACACACATGGGCCAATTAAGATTTTAAATTATTAGAGTTTTGTTTTTGACAATATAGATGGCAATTTAAAAGACAAAACACTTTATAGACAGGACTATTAAGAATCGAACTATTAGGGCTGGCCAGATAGCTCAGAGGTCTAAGGCGTCTGCTTAGGCAGAGCGCAAAAACCAGGCTTCAATCCCTGGCACCACGAGCCACGCTGGCCCCACCTCCAGGGCATGCTGAGAGGGCGACTGAGACTGCATGTGGCATGTGCCTGTAATCCCAGCGCTTGGAAGGCTGACAACAGGAGGATCACTATGAGTCCAATCTGTATAGTGAGACCCTGTAGAGCCTGTACTAAATACATAAAAAAGAGAATCGAGTTGCTAAGAGTTGAACTGTTAAGAACTGAACTCAAGAATTTAGTTGAAAGGAGAGAACAGGACCTCCAGTTGAGTCTTTAAATAGAAGGAAAATACTTGAAGTCCATAGAGGGGGAAACATGGTCAAGGAGAGTGCAGGCGAGTGGGAGGAACTTCGGGAGGAGGACTGGCGTGCAGCTCGGTGTCGGACCTTGGTGAGTGCACCCGAGGCCCCAGCTCCCACCCCAGCACTGCAAGCAAAGGGGGTGGGGTAAGTGAAAAGAGGAGAGAGCTGCAGTCTGGGAATGCGGGAAGGCCCAAGCAGCACACTGATGCCACAGTTGGGATGCGCACCTCAGAGTGCCGCTGCTGCACAACGGAGAAGCTGCTAAATTGTCTCGCTAAACACCTACTCTGTTGTGAGCTTATTGGACTTGTTTGCTGCTTTTTTAAACAATGGGACTATTTACATATTATGTTATTTTCCTGAGACTCTTTAGACTGATAAAAAGGTCCCCAAATATGAATTAAAATGGAAATCTCTCCAATTCTTCTGTTTATTTTTCTGGAAAATACTGACACTCAGAATCTGGGACACCCCTTCTACTTGCTTTCTTTTCCTCAGTTTCCCTAGCCTGGAAATCCTCAGAAATTACTTTAGGACCTGTAGGTATAGACGTAAGTACCTCAGTTCCAAAACTAAAAATACTGTGATTGCAGAGCCAACTGTGGTGTGGAAGAGGAATCCAGTATTCTGTTACTTTATCCCCACATCCTGGGGTGAGAAGTAGAGCACCCCAAATGTCCCCCACGTGGGCTTCCTTGCATTCAGGCTGAGCAGGTCACCCTGGTCCAGGACATGAGCGTCCAGGAGCAGCCCCGTGCCTGCCCTTCCCTCTGGGTCAGAGGCTGGACCTATGGGGCTATGCCAGCGGTAGACCGATGGTGCGTGGGGGTGACTCATCTCTGGCTCTGCCTTTCTGGAAGTGGTCCATGCCTCAGGGGCCGGACCACTGTAAGGATCTGGTGCCCATCCTCTGCTTGCCCGGTCACATCACTGTCCAGTGACGCAGCACCCAGGTGGCCTGGCTGAGCCCCTGTGTTGCTCCACCTCTGCAGTTTCCGAGCATAAGAGTTCAGGGAGCAGAGCTTTTGCATTACTCTGAGGGTGCAAGAGCAAATTGAAGCCACTTGTGGCACAAAATAGACTGGAGGGCTGATGAGTATTTGTACAAGAACTTGGAGGGTGAGGCTGGCCACCCACAGCCCACATTTCTGTTTTGTACTGTGTGCTTGGGCACAGCCAAGACCTTCAGAAACTTTAAGAAACACCCTAAATTTTGTATAAACTGAGTTTCCCCTAGTGAGGCTCCACAAATAACATCCTCTTCTTCATTTTTGGCCTTTATTTTTTTTTTCTGAGAGGGAGGGAAAGGGAGAGAGAGAGGGGAGGGAAGAGGAGGGGAAGGGGGACGAGGAGGAGAGGGGATGGGAAAGGATGGGAGGGGAGAGAGAGAGAGAGTCAGTCTCTGTTCAGTATAGCCCAGGCTGGCCTCCAAGCCTTGTGAGTCTTCCTGCCCCACGCTTCCAAATGTTGAAATCATTTTTCTTTTCTGTTTTTTGTAAGATTAACATTGTTTTAAAACAACAGTTTTCTAGTCAGCCATATAACATACAGAAAATGTGTTGAGGATTTCATATAAGGAACTTCACCGGACATTTTTTTATGAACTTACTTTCTGAACTGCTTAATCCTCTAATGTCCCTTATATTTTGGAATCAGGTCAGCTGTCAGGAGCAGGTACCAAAGCTCAGACTGGGGAGACCATATACAGCCGAGTTACCTGGGTTAAAGCATTGCATTGAATTTGTCCTTGCTCTTAGTCTGTCAGTGTGAATTTCAGGATTGATACATTATTGATGTTCGTTAATCGAATGAACAAGAGCAATAAATATTTTAGATATGTGTAGGAGTTAAACCCTGCATTTTGTTAATTTGTATAAAAGAAAGATGACTGAATATGAAGTCTATGTGATGAGTTATAGACCCTTATGTTATTAGTGGCCATTTTAAGGACAAATTTAATAATCACATTTTATGACATAGTTTATTATTGTGTTTGTCATATATTCACAGGCTCAGTGGAGTCAAATTATGTGTATAGAATATTTTTTAAATAAGGAAAATTATGTTGATGACCTGGACAGTGAAAATGAATGTGAATTTTTAAGTCTATGACTAAAATCTCCTTGGTGAAGATCAGAGTCACAGAACATCCTTTTTTTCTTTAATCAATGAAAGTTAAAAAAAATTAAAATCAAGAGTCAGCTTTTCCATGAGGAATAGTACTCTCACTGCACACTAAGACAGTTTAGAAGTGGCTTGTAACAAATCTATTTTTAGTAACTACATTTATAGGAGTATTACAATGTTCCTAAAGTCCAGTAAAAATTCTTAAAGTATTTCATGCAGGAATTTTGTAAGTAAAGGAACCAGTGTTTTGAAGTCAAAGTTTGTAATTAGTCTAACCAGTCAAGTTTACAAACTTGTTCAAACATTTTATTAAGAAGATTAGAAAGGCTGGGTGTGCTGGAGCACATGTGTAACTCCAGCGCTCAGAAGGCTAGGGCAGAAGGACTGCTGCAAGTTCAAGGCCAGTGTGGACTGCATAATGAAACCTTGTCTCAAAAAGACCAATAAGGGCTGAAGAGATAGCTCAGCAGCACAAGCGCCTTCCTTGCAAGCACAAGATCCTGAACTTGATTCCTAGTTTTTAAGAAAAAAGCACATTAGGCAAAAGTCTTCAGGGGATATAGAGAAGTAGCACATTCTTTACTCAAGGAGAACTTTTAATTTCACTAGGAAAACATCACATAGTGTACAAAGTTTGAGAATAATTTAAAACAAGAAATAAAGTGATGTAACTAAGGAGATGTCAAGGTATATCATTTGCATAGTCTGCTGGTCTTAAAAAAGGGAAAAAACACTTGAGGCAGATGCAGTTAGAAATCAATGTCTCAAACAGCTTCCATTTGCACCAGTCAAGCATTAGTAATTGCTGTGTGGCTAGGAACAGCGACAAGTCATGTTTAGTGCTGGGTTGTCAGCTATATGGGGCAGGCCAGTCTGTTCATATGCCCACATGCACAGTGTTGCTTCCTGTCTCTTCCACTTTCTACAATCTGTCTAAAGACAACAGCATCACAGACCATCTTCCTTTGTAATACATTCTTACAGTGGCACTTTTTAAAGATTGTTTTTTCTTCATTTTGCATTGTATAGTGCTGATATCCACAGTATGTCTTCTGTACTTTTCATTGCTTTTATTTTGAGACAAACAAGGTCTTACTGATTTGCCGGGGTGGGCCTCAAATTTGTGATCCCCCTGCCTGGGCCTCTTTGAGTGCTGGGATTACAGTTGCACTTCACCATGCCAAGTTTAAGGTTTGCTTTTTAAATAACACAGTTTGTTCCTGATGAATGGAAAACTTCAGAAAGCCAGTCACAGTGTTAAAGATAGTAAAAGCTTGACCTTCCAGGTGATTTGCTTTCTGACCAGTGGAATGTAACCTTGTCATGACTCTCAAAGGTCAGTTGAGCATAGGGTCCCCTGACCACCCTGTTCAAATGCAGAGTCTGAATCTGTAGGCCTGGGCCAAAAGACTGGAAAATCTGGTTTCTGGGGGCTCATGGAAGAGGTAAGTATTGCTGTTCTTTGCAGTTTGAGCAGTAGGATTGTGGAGAAAGCAACATTATGTATTTTAAATGCTAACACCCTGCTTAAGGAAAATAGAAGTATTATTAAAGTAAGATTTTATATGCCTATAGTCCTTTGCTATCAACCAATACTGTGCCTTTGCCTTTAGCACGGAAGCAAGAGATTATTAAAGTCACTGAACAACTGATCGAAGCAATCAACAACAGGGACTTCGAAGCGTACACGTGAGTACAGGCCTCCATATTTCACTTCCATACACAGGGCAGAGGTTGTCTGCAATATGAGTGCGTCCTTTTGTGTATCTGAATTAATGTATAGTTAATGCCAGATTTGAGGTGTCAACAATAATTTTATATAAATGAAAATCAGTATGTTTAAGACTAGCCATGGCTCAACTTCCCATCCAAGCATTGGGGATTTCTTCGTAAATGAAATTTCTTCATAAACATCTGCAGGTCCTTGTGAGAGATGCACACAGAAAGCAGGAAAGAGATGGCTCAGTGGTCTAAAGCACCTACTTAGAACAAGCTTAGCAAAGCATCGGGGACTGCAGTTCAATCCCCCAGCACCACATGCCAGCCAGCCCCGCCCCCTGGTGGGCTGAGCTGGCCACACATACACACACACACACACACACACACACACAAATAAAATTAAAAAAATAAATAAATAAAAATAAAAAAATAAAACGTGTATTTGGAGTTACGAAATATTTTCCTTTGCAGTTCTGCAGAGGGGTGGGCATAGATAAAATGAAAGGTGACACAAGGGTCTTCTGTCTCTTCTCAAGTGCAGTTCAACTTTACCTGTATCTCTGCTGTGCGTTTGTCTCTTAAGGAGAATTGTAGTTGAAGAAGAGCTTCTATGCTTATTATCAAGTTATAAACTGCTCAGTCATAGGTAAAGGTAATTATTTTCCCAAGTAGAAATAAAGCATTCAGTGTAAATGTGGCATGAAGGCTTACTGACCAAAGTAACGTGTGTCCCTATGTTAGCAAGCTGCGGACAAAAGCTTTCGAAGCCTTCTTGTTCCATACAGAGTGACTTCCACACGAGTGAAAGCATTAATGTGAAACCATGACCGACTCTGAGCTCTGCTTAGAAAGATATTCCTAAATTTAAAAGCAGAGATAATGATCATATATAAGAAGGTAAATTCATCCACTGAAACAAAACTGGTGTGTTTTAGTTTAAAAACTAAAAAAAGGTTTAATGTACCCAATTTTTAATTTTTTTGTTGAGTGGATTAGTAGAAAAAAATAAAAATAAATGGCGGCCATAAACTGACCACTAGCAGAAAAGGAAAATATAAATTACAAATAAGCTAATAAAAGCATACCCGTATCCACTAATTTAGGTATATACAAACTTGAATGCAAAAAATCTTTAACATGAACATCTATTCTGATTCTAAAACATGGATAAAAGTTTATGAGTTAAGGTATAGTGCAGCAGTATTGATAATTATGAGAAATTTGTATGGAAGCCATTAACTAATCACAGATGTCTTTAGTACAGTAGAAGTTCATATAGAATTTCTAGTGATCTGAAAAAGTACTTGTGATATTTTTGCTGAAAATAAAGCAGAACATAAAAGTGTACATACATAATTATTCCAACTGTATAAGAAAAGAAGCATTAAAAAGCTATGCTAAATTGTTTTAAAAGATATTGCTCTGAATGGTAAAATTATGTGTGGATGTTATACTAGTTACAAGCAGATAGCTTTGTTGCATTTCCATTACCATAACAAAATGCCTAAGCCATCAACTTCAAAAGAGGAAAGGCTTACCTTTGCTTGTAGTTTCAGAGGATTCAGTCCAGGACCATGAACTCCATTGCTTGGTGACTGTGGTTGCAAAGGTCCTCATGGTGGGAGTTTGTGCTGTAGAAAGCCTGTTCACATTGGTAGCTTGGAGGTAAAAGAAAGAGCAGGGGCCAGAGCCCCGTACTCTCAAGTCTCAGCTCCAGTGACCTGATTCTGCCACCAGGTGTGGGTCTTGAAGTTTACCCCCTTCCATCACACCATGGACTGGGAATAGTGTCCTATAGGACACATTTAATATCCAAACAATAGCAGTAGCCAAATTCAGAATAAGGAGAAGAGAAGCTAAATGTGGGAACTGAAGCCCAAGAATGAGTTTCCCTATTCTTCTTTAGGTATCTTCCCAAACAGAGTTGAAGATGTCATGTTACCATAATCTGCCTACCATGTTTATAACAGTACAATTCATAATAGCTCAATCAAGAAAGTGGTCCATATGCCCATCAGCAGATGATGGATAAAGAAAGAGTATTTGTACAGAAGAGACTACTGCTCTGCTATGAAACATGATAAGCTTGAGTCATCTGTAGGAAAATGGATGCACCTTGACCCCATAATGTTCAATAAAAAAAATTAAACACACAGCTTAAATATCACACACTTTCTATTATATAAGACACCCAAATTATAAATAAAGAGCAAAATAATAGGAAGTAAAGAAATGGATATTTTTCAAAGGAGAAGTTGATTGAGAGAGTAGGGAGGGGGGGGAAGAGAAGGAAAGGGGAAATTAAGATGTGTTATGTACATGTATGAATTCCTCCCAAGGCATATCAATTCTGTACTGCAAATATATAGTAATAAAAATAAATTATTCAAGATGTGTATGAACAAACATATGCATATTCACATATATGTACATGTGTATATTCTTTAGCATAACAATAAAGCATACTGTAAGAAATAAATAGTAAAAATGGGGTGTGGAAGAACTCTGTTGTCAAAGACAGTTCTTTAAACAATCATTTATAGCTCTTTGCTGTAGAATCTGTTCTCTTATTTTTTGTTAAAATTATAACCCTGCTAGAGCCATAGAATTCTTCAAATCATATTCATTCTTCTTTAATCTCCTTTTCTAATAGCATACCCTGTTGAGGGTAATGGTTGTGTGTTGTGAAGTTGTGGTTCAGGGACAGGACACAGTGACAGCCAGGCAAAAGTGGACTATTTCCTGGATTCTCAGGTAGTTTAGGGTAGGGTACTTTTTTAATCAATTAAATATATTAGTATATTTTAGATATGCGTGATCATGTTCATTACAGGGAATTTGTATCTGTACATGACATAACTTGATTCTTCTTCCCCATTCCTCCCTCCATTCAACCCCTCTTCCTCTCCTTATTTACAAAAGCTTTGTTTCTATTTTTTCTTTTTTCATTTCCTCTCCTCCCTTCTCCCCTCTCCCAAGTTACCCCTATGCATTTGAACATTTTCTTCCTATTTCACAGTCTATTATACATTTTCATCCTTGTTTACACTTTCTGTTTCTCATAACCAGCAAAACAATGCAGTATTTATACATGAGCATTCGACATATTTCACTTAAGTACATGATCTCAAGTTGCACCTGTTTAGTTACAAGTGTCTCGAACCTCTCCTCTGTGAGAGAGTAGTGTGAAGTAGGGAGTTCTAAATGACACATGTGCTTGGGGTTACATCAGTTTGCTCACTCCCTTGCTCAGGGGACCTGTGACAGGGTCTGTTTTTTCCTTTGAAGCCCGAGGATAATCCAACGGGACTTTCATCCAGAATCTTCTCCTGTTAACAGCGCATGTACACACATACACACACACACACATGCATGTGCGCACACACACACACACACACACACACACACAGACACACACCCCTAGTGACCACCTTAGGTGTCTTCTACTAATGAAAAGCTGTTATAAGGAGAGCAAGCAAGAAAGAAAAAAGCAGAGAAGAGCTTTCCCATATGTTAACTCTTGAAGGTTGGGTAAAGAAATTGATCATAACACAGTTCCCAGGTAATCTTAGAATTGATGTAAGATATTAAGAAATTTTTAGCTCAGTAGAGTAAGCACTTGCCTGGCAAGCGCAAGGTCCTGAGTTCAATCCCCGGTACTGAAAAACAAAAAAAGAAAAGAAGGAAGGAAGGAAGGAAGGAAGGAAGGAAGGAAGGAAGGAAG